AGCTCAATGTGCCAACGACCCAGATTGAATATGGGCCAATCTAATGATCACGGATGTCTGATAGTGTTTGAATTTTTCATTTTTTTTTACAAATCCAAATTACTTTAAATTTTAGTAGTATGTTCTTCTCATCAAGGCGTACCTAATAAAAATATAAAAAAAATTATCAGTAAAAAAATAATTGACCAAAATAACCATCAAAAATTTATAGGGGTATTTTTTGTCAATTGTTTCTTGTAAAATAGTTTTTTTATTTATCAAAAATAGGGGAATCTTCAAAAATTATAAAAAAAATATTTTGCATGAAAACAATTCACCAAAATACCCCCGAAATGCTTTGGGGGTATTTGGGTCAATTTATTTTTATGTATAAGTTTTTTTAAAATTTTTATTAGATGCGTCTCAGTAAGATATACGTATCCTCCAAATTTTAGGTCATTTCAATTTGTAAAAAAAAATGAAAAATAAAATACTACTAGGGACAATGACTTTAGGCTGTGCTTAGAAAGCCTGGACCGGATGGCCCAATAAAATAATCAGGCGAGGCCATGAAGCCCGAACCAATTGACCTTACCCAAACCCGATTGATTAACCAAATCTCCCTTGTAATAGGAATGATCTAGAAAGATGCAATCTTGGAAAGGATTCTCTTGATAGATTGTAATTGTAACCTCTTTCCAAATGTGTACAATTAATGTAATCAAATCCTTGATTGATTCAATCAAGGATTCTTACTAAATATGTTACCAAAAATGTTGATTACAAAACTATTACAAATAGAACCAACATCTCTCTATAGGTGTAGGGAATTTTACACATATATTATTTCTTTAAATTTCTTTATGGTATCAAAACATACCTAAATCATCAACTACGTGATTTGTAGCTCCAGTGTCAACAATCCGACTTGACTCAAGGGGTGTGGTGAGATATATAGACCCGAGAGAGTGAGTCAAAGTATTGTCTTGAGAGTTATGTTGAGTGCAGTGATAATAGCACCGGAGCGAGATGGTTTATGCGACCACAGATTTGACAAGATTCAAAATCAATCCTATTTATAGGATATATTGGGGGTTTTGGTAAAAGTCATATTGCTCGACCTGCATAGTGCGGTGGACCACCTTGAGCACCACTTAGATTCCCATGACCGAGTCCTCTTCCTCTTTCATGACCTCGTCCTTTTCATCTTCCTTTGGGCATTTGAGAGGATGCATAGAGAACCTCATGTGTGGTCCAGATCCAGTGGTTGAGTCACTATTTCCTATAGGTGAAAGATTGAACAATAACTCATGTTCAAGTAGGAGAAGACGGAGACATGTACATGATGGTAGAGGTGGTCGAGCTATAACTAAAGCAACAAACATTTTGTATTCATCACCAAGCCTCCATAAAATTTAACGAACTTTTTCTAGACAGAGACATGTGTATGAGGGTAGAGGTGGTCGGGCTATAACTAAAGCAACAAAAATTTTGTATTCCTCACCAAGCCTCCGTAAAACTTAACGAACTTTTTCCTTTTCATCAACTGGATATTGTATAATTGCCAACTGATCAAAGAGAGATTTTAACTTGTTTAAATTCTATTGAATAGATTGTGTCTCACGTGTGTAATTTTGAAGCTCGATGCGAAGATGCATCAATCACATCTTAGATTGTTGCACATAGGAGTTGTGAAGGGTAAACCAAAGATCTTTTGCACCGGCAATGTCAAGAACTTGTGCCGAAATATCAGGGGATAACATAGAGTTGATTCATGCCATGATGAGTTGATCACGAGCGTATCACTGTTCATATTCTGGATTACAAGCATCTTTATCATAGAGAAGAAACGTAGGGGATTTAGTTTCTTGGAGTAATAAAAAGCAAAAGATTGTTTCACGCTCAAGTTCAGAAGCAGAATATCGAGTAATGTCTTCTGCGGCTGCTGAAATCACTTGGTACCACCACATTCTATTATAATTGGATATTAGAATTCAACATGTAATTCTTCATTATAATAATCAGAGTGCAATAAAGCTTTCCTTTAATCCAGTTCTTCATGCACGGTCCAAGCATTGTGAATTGGATTATAATTTTATTCAAGAAAAAATTGAAAGTGAAAAGATTACTTTTGATTATATTTCAATTACAAAACAACTTGCTGATATTTTTACAAAAGGTCGTCCTACATCACAACATCGTTCGATCGCAAACAAGTTATCCATGTTTCACATTGACAATAGTTTGAGGGGGAGTAATAGGAATGATCTAGAAATATACGATCTTGGAAATGATTCTCTTGATATATTATAATTGTAACCTCTTTTAATATGTGTACATATTACTGTAACCAAATCCTTGATTGAGTCAATCAAAGATTCTTAACAAATATGCTGATTGCAAAATATTATAAATAGAACACACATCTCTCTCTATGAGTGTGGAGAATTTTACAGAAATGTTCTTTTTCTAAATTTCTTCACCCTGGTTTATGCGCTGACACGATAGAAGGAACCTTTTCAATGGTTGAGATTCATAAGGTCATATCTAATGGTCTTAAACTAATTTTATATTTTATTTAAATAAAATATTTATTTGAATTTTCGGGTTATAAGTTTGTTTTTATTAAGAGAAATAAATAAAAATAATTAAAAACTATTTTAAAATAAAAAATTGCAATATCCCTAAATTTATTTTGATTAATATGTTTTACTCAAAATAATTTTTACTTATGTTTATTTAATTCTATTTAAAAAAATAAAGCAAAAAATCAAATTTTATATTAAAATTATTTTTAAATAAAAGTTAATAATAAAAAATGAGATTCATTTTTTGCCATTGGATGAGACTGGTTCAATGTAAACCATTAAAAAAGTGCTTGTGCACCTTTTAAGCATCACAACCTGTGGACATAATACCAACCCTAAAAATAATTCTTTTACTTCAAATGTAAAGCATACTTGGGACTATTTTTGCTGATTTGAAATTTTTGGGATTTTAATTTTACAAGATGAGTATCTCCGGTAAAGAAAAATTAGATTTTGTGTTTATGAACACTTAGATCTAACCATCTTGAAATTAGACAAACTCTATAATGTTGGAAGAGTTTTGATTGAGACATATATAGAGCATATATGAATTTAGTATCTTGAGGGATATTGCCAGGTTGAGGCGGTTAAACCCTAAATTTTGAGGTCCAAAAAATATGCATAAATGGGATCATAACTAAAGGAGTGATCGGATGATGTACCTGTAGAGGAGTATATAATCTTTTTGGCTTATATAATGGATAATAGTCGTAATAAATAAAATAATAAAGAAACTCCTAACCAAGACGTGTGTAGCAATTGGGATAATTTCAGTCACAATGCCTGACATTATTTTATTTTTATTATTTTTCTATATAGTATTTTGATATGAAATTGGGGTGTACTCACTTCTTATATGTACGTATCAAATGAAAATAAAAATATGTTGTTAAAAGTATGTTCATGGTAACCTTGCAAGTTACATATGTATTTTGGTCATTTATTTTTATTAGAAAATTTTCTTAATTAATTAGGTGTTGGTGGTGTGTTGGGATGCCCAACGCGTCATGGAAAATAAATTTTAAAATAAAAATATAGCATGCATTATAAGCCATCCGATCAAGATCAAATACTATAAACTAACGTATGTTATTGTGATTGAATCTGACACAGCCATCTATTTATATAACGATTTAAATAAGAGAACTAAAAATAGCACACGTCTTATACATGGGTGTGGTTTCTATGAGGTTGCAACCATAAACATTCCAATTAAGGTGCACCTCCAAATTTTATTATGACATGTAATTTTGGTGTAGAAAATTATTAGAGTTATCTAAAAATCTACTTTCATATCTAATTATAAAATTTTAAACTCCAAAAATGGTATAAACATATGAAAATCATGAAAATAGACGGTCTAGATAATGTGTTTGTTGATGAACTATTTTTGGGACTCAAAATCCTATTTTGTTTCTTCATATTTATACATCTCAATGTCGAGATGATTAATTAACGAGTTTTTCAACAGTAAAACAACCTTTTCTGATACGTTTTGTAAGTGCATATTTAATTCTACATTTTAAAGTTGCAACCTTATACAATTGTTTTTCTCTATATATAGGTGCACCTTAAACAATCATAGTAAGGTGCACCTTTAGTCATAAGATACAAATTTAGTGTTAAAAATTCTTACGATGCTCTCAAAATTTATTTTCATCACTACTTATATAAACTTTCGAACTTTAAAGATGGGCCCAATCAAGTAGATCTATAAACATATAAAAATCTTAAAAATGGACGGTCTAGATCATGTTTTGCAAGATGCTTTATTTTGGGACTTAAAATCATTTTTCTCCGTCGTATTCATACATCTCAATATTAAGGTGATCAATTAGATGGTTTTCCAACAGCAAAACAATATTTTGACATAGATTTTTGAGGTGCATCTTAATTCTACATTATGCGGAGTAAACCATATATAAACTTTTTCCTTTTTTCTATTAATTTAAGGGTATGGCTTCTATAAAGTTGAGGCCCCAAACAATAAAAATAAGGCATACATCTAAATAGTGTTGAAAGGTGATTTATCAGTAGTAAAAATCTTTGTGATGGCCTAAAAATTTATTTCATCTATAATTATAAAATTTAAAGGTTAAAAAATAGGATAAATCGAGCATATATGTAAAAACTTGAAAATATTGAAATTTGATGGCTCATATAATGCATACAAAAGATACACTATTTCTGGGACTTGAAATCTATTTTTTTCTTTTTTTTATGTCTATACATCTTGAGGACAAGATGATTGATTTGAGGTTTTTCAACATCGAAACAACTGTCTTTTTTTTTTAATGTAACATCGAAACATCATCTTATAGTGAATATTTGAGGTGCGGCCTAATTTGATTGCTTAAGGCTTCAACCTTATATAAATTTTTCCTTTAACTGAAACATTAGATATATAACAAGAGGCGAAACTGACCTCATAACTTTAATTTTCTTTTAAGGGCATTTTGGACTTTCCAATATAACCGTGCTAGGCTGGGTCAAGAGTGAGTTGGCGTGGCCATGGACCCAATATATTGTTGAACGGGCCAAAGCTCTAGGACCCAGCCTTGCTCCGTGGACCTAAATTTGGGCCCCAAACCCCAGTCAGGTATGTGGGGATGGGCCCGACTCAGCCCAACCCTACCAACTAAGAAAAATGTTGCCCCACTAGATGTGTCATGTGCGGTGGCCAAATATCTATTTTTCAACATCATTGTTATCATGATAAGAACAAGTGAACCACTGACATCACTCACAGCCATTACTTAATAAAGAAATAGATATAGGATGAGTACATTATCATGAGGAGGTAGTCAGAGATGACATTAGTCAAATCCATTAGCTAAAGCATTTGATAAGAATAAGATGATCACGTTAGCCATAAGTCAAAGGGATATAAATATTCAAATTTAAAAATGAGCGAGCGTGTCTCTTTCCTTCCTATGGTAGGTGAGTTCGCTATGTAAAGGAGCTGCAGCCTCTCTTCAATGGGTTTAAGGCTAAGCGGTCAGGTAGTGGGTTACCGCAATATGATATCTTGAGTTCGTAACCACATATTTGAAGGGTTTAAGGCTAAGCGGTCAGGTAGTCGGTTACCGTAACATGATATCTTGAGTTCGTAACCACATATTATAAAGACGGCCATTGTTATAGCCAACCAAATTTCTTTTCATTTTTTCTTTATGTATAAGGTAGCCCTAATATTTGGAAGGGTGACACATTTGAATAAGAACCTGGGGTTAGCACCAAAAGCCTTGCAATATAAAATTTGTAATAGTAAACAAATATGACAGTGGACTACAATAAAGAGACCACTAACTGTTGGATTATACTGTTTAAAAGGATTATACAAGAAACCTAAAATGATTTGCGGCTTCCACTGTAGCACACTGTGAATTTGCTCCATCGGGTAAAATTCATGTTTGGACACCAAATTTTGGGGGCTAGTGGCCTCTAGAACTTAGTAACCAACCTAAATTGAATAGGACTCTCCATATGCGTCACGAAATGAAGGTCTTAAAGATTGTACAAGAACCACTCAATTTTTTGAGAGCCGTTCGAGAACTTAAAATATGCTTTTTTCTGTTGATTTGATCTCCTTGGATCGCAGAATCCCCAATAAAAAAAATCCTTCCAAATTACTCTTTTGCCTGAGGGAATTGGTGTACAGTACGCTCCCATGGGACATGTTACACGTACTCATAAGAAACAACTTGCCTGTTATGTTATATAAAAGTAACGGGCGCTGGTGCTAAAAAGAATAGCCGTTATATAAGAAACAGCCTGTAGTAGCCGTTATATAAGAAATTGTCCATACTGAAAGTTACGGCTAAGGAGGCTAAACAATGTCTATCTGTTCACAGAGTAACGGCCGTTATTTCCTTTATAACCTTGTTATTGTAGAGACCTAACGGCTATTACTGTGGGTTTTCAATTTTTTTTAATAAAACAATATTATAAGATTATATATGACAGCCTTCAAACGGAGTTAAAAGAAAAAAAGAGTTTCAATAACGGAAGAGATAATCATTTCCCCCCTTATTTATTTTTTATTTAAAGGAAAATGGTTTAATGGGGCTGTAACTTTATCGAATAACTAAAAGCTCGTCTCAAAACTCAACAAAAATTGCAGGCTTTAAAAAACTTTCAAATCAATCATTTTGGCCTTGACCATTATTGTTGTAAAACTAATTAGGATTTCAATCTTAAAAATTGGTTTATATCATAACACATTATCTAAGCTGTTCATTTTGACTTAAAAATTAGTGTTCACGTATCCGCAAGATCTGTATTATGTTTTTTTAAGTTTCAAAAGTTTATAATCCACAAGATATGTACTAATTTTTTTTTGAACTTCAAATTTTATATTTGGTATTAGAACTTGATTTTAAAGCCATCAAATTTTCGATGCTAAGAAGTACTTTCTAGGCAAAGATTAAGGATGAGGCTTTACTTTTTTTTTTTGTTTCATTAACCATAGGCGTTTTTTAGCAGCGTCGCTATAAATCGTCAAGCGCTAACCGTTAAGCCCGGGCTCTTTTCACAAAAAAAGTACAGCCTTTTCTTACTGTCATTTACCCATCTTGTCCCATCTTTCCTGGCACGGTAAGAGGAACGGAGCACCTTGGAAAACTTTAAAGAGTAAAAATAATGAGAACGTGTGAATCTGACCTGTTTCGAAGACGAGACCACTGAAACCTGAGCATCCAGGGCCACCAGTGAGCCAGAGTATGAGGGGATCCTTAGATGGGTTATTCTCAGACTTGATAAAGTAGTAGAACAGTCTATATTCATTCACCTCATCTACACTAATATACCTGCATAAATAACATTTCCAATTATTATATACACACTGAGTCTCACTCCAAAAACCTAGAAAAAAAATAGAGATAAGCACCAACTTGTGGAAAAAGAATCATAAATTAAGTAAACGACGGTTAGAGAGATGTATTGAAATATGTCCCAAAAATCTGTAGTTACAGTTTGTAAATGTGTTGAAGATAAAGGAAAAGGCAACAAGAGGGCCAAGTTTGATTTGTTTAAGGCTGAGTACATTGGTCGAGTCGATTTTCGGAACACCAGATGGTTAAAATATGTCTCTCTTACCCGGAGAAGAAATCAAATGGGAAGGCCCCTTCAAAGCCAGGAAGAAACTCCACTCTTGCCGAAGAATCTGCTGTGATGCAATCTGAGATAGTCACCCACATCAAAAGTAGCAAGAGGGCAACGTCATGGTGGAACTCAGCCTTTCTCCCTTCCATTGGCCTCTCTCTTTTCTGTATTTTGCAGGTTTGGCATGAACAATAATACCTCTCTCCCTCCCCAAAATCGAGTATAAGTAATAAAAAATTTCCCACCCGCTCGATCCTCGCTGGTTTGATTGCATTAAAAACTGAGCCAAAAGATGTTTTACATATGCCGGAGTAGTATGTTTATTTACTCCCTAGTGTTAAACCCTACCTATCCTAATTGCATCTGCACAGGAACAAAAAAATATTTTAAAATTGAATAAAGGCCATCCAAATTTTTAGATGGTAAAATCTAAGGATTATAAAACTCAAGTTTCACATTTTTTTTTTTGTAGAATAATCACCTTATAATTCTGAAGTGGTTTCCAAATTTTCATATTAAAAAATCCTCATCTTTGACTGGGAATAGAAATATACTATACTCCGAAAGGAGCATACTATATGTGATCAAGAAGCCAAAAGATTCCTCGTTCTATGTTAGCAAGTTATTACACGGAAGTTCAACGATGTAAATTGATGGTGATGCTTCTACCTGCAGGCGGTGGTTTAGAATCCGGATCGGGAGGTTCACACGTTAGATGGATTCCGAATCGTTGATCAAGGTTGGATCAGCTTTTGGTTGTGAATTGGTCTAAAAATATTTTAAATACTATTTTTAATCTGAACCTTAAAAATTAAATTTTTTTTAAAAAAAACATAGAAATAAGATGATTCGCACTTACTTCTTTGATAAAAAAAGGTAAGTATATCAAATTGGACCGTCCAGACTAAAATTGGGTTGGTCCCCACGGATTCGACTCGGGAGTCATGGCCATCGGTTCAGAATTTGGCCCTTGGCAATTGCAGAGGCAGAATCCAAAAATAGGCAAGTCTCCCAGGCTTCAGGTTACTTCCTAATTTCCAATTAGTTCATCCGAGTTTAACAACCAACTTTGCCTATTTGTATTAGCCAAAAAAAGAAAAAGAAAAAGAAAAAAAAAAGAAAAAGCTTTATTGATTTGTGGTTGATTCGATCTCTGGACATGTCGGAGGCAACATAAAATTTAATATCCATAAGTAAAACAAGTTTTCAGAAAGGACGCGGTTAGCATGCAATCAAGCCCGTGCACGTAGAAATGCGGGCCTTGCAATAAATTTTTTTTTTTTAAATATATTTTGATCTTGATTTTTAGAGAATGTATAATCTTTATCATGGAGATTATGAATATGAAAAAAATAAAATTTAAAAATTATAAATAATAATTATATTAAAAAAACATTTAAACCGTTAGTTACAATTGTTTTTAGATGGACCACTTATTTGCATCCATCTTTTAAGATGGATGTTTTATACCACTTTGCATGTTGTAGAAATGTAGTCCAGCCCGCATGAAACAATTGTTCTTCGAAAAAAATGTTATGTTCTAAGTGGATATGCTCGAGTCCAATTAGAAGCAATAGGGGACAAGCTCGAATCCCCCATAATAGGGCAAAGTAACCTTTGTTTTACAAAAGAATGAAAAAAATTTTGATTTCTCGCTTATTTATTCACCTAAATCTCCCAAAAGCTGTTCCAATATTTTATTATCTGGCCTCCAACTTCTCACTTTGCAGGAGGCACATCGCGGTGTTTCTCTCCATAAAAAGCTCTCTTCTCTCTGAAAGAGAAGCATTCTCTTGTATCCTTGTCTCTCTCTCTAGAGGAAGCTCACATTTCCCATATGATAACCCAAATAGGGCATACCTATTATTTCCTCTTTCATCTCATATATATTAGGTTAGGAATCCGTATCAAACAGTAAACTTTCATAGATGTTACATATCTTCAAAACCAAAAAATATATCCAAGAGTCTTAATCTTTTTGAATTTCTATTTTCTCTAGAAAACTTATCAATACTAATCCCAATCCAACATAACATGGGATTTTTTTATGTGGGTAATTTTTAAATATCACCATATCCATCAACATATATGATCACTTGCATGAGAAATAATCTAAACACATTTTAAATATTATTTTTAATCCAAAAATCTAAAAAAAAAAAATTTTTAAATAAAATAGATGGAAATCACGTGACTCGGCTAGTCCAAATTGCCCAGTTACCTAATAGACTCACCTGTTTTTTTGACAAAACCAGATAATTCTATGAAATTGAACCAATTCCTAATCCTGGCTGATCCCAATCTTGATGACTTGGGACTCATTGCAATCGGCTTGGAATTTCAGAGGAAAAATCCAAAAATAGGCTAGTCTGGCGTCAGGTTACCTTGTAATTTCCAATTAGTTTACAACAAACTTTGCCTATTTGATAATATTTAATTTCTGTAGCTAAAACAAAATGGAAAATTGTTTCTTGCGGGCTGGACTGCATTTTCACATATGCGATCTGGAAAGTGTAAAGCATCCATTTTAAAGATGGATGCAAGTTGGTGTTCTATCTAAAAACAATAGAAACTAACGATACAAATATTTTCTTAGTAAAATTATTATTTATAGTTTTTAAAATTTATTTATTTATTTATATTCATAATCTAAATTTTAGAGATTACTTATCTTTAAAATTTAAATATTAAAATCAATCTCAAAAATACATTTATTAAGAGGCCCATATTTCTACATACGAGGGCTTGACCGCACAGCATTAAGGATTCGTAGTACATTATTGGTGGACGGGGATTCACAAAATTTAGTTCTATAGTGTCATAGTGAGCAGAAAATTCCATTGGAAATTTCGATTACTTTGGTGCAAATTCCGGGCCCTATTGAGAAGGTTACGGCCTTATTGATAAGGTTACCCTATCTTTTACGCATATCAATAGAGAAGCTACCCATATCGATAGAGAAGCTAATAATGATGTATCTTTTATCCATATCTATAGAGAAGCTACCCATATCGATAGAGATGTATCTTTTACCCATATCTATAGAGAAGCTACCCATATCGATAGAGAAGCTAATAATGATGTGGATCGGTTGGGTCAACATGGGGTGATGCCTTTGGAGTTAGGTGTTGTTCGTGGCTCAATGTAATTTGTTTTATTTGTAAAATTAGTAATTTTTGTAAAAAAAAAAGCCTATCAGTTAATGATTGTGATGTTTGTTTTGGAATGAAAATTGGAATCATTGTTTTTTATTTTTTATTTTATTTTATTTTATTTTATTATTTTTATTTTTATTTTTATTTTTATTTATTTTTAGTGGGAATGACGAGCCTCTACCCAGATAATGCAATGTGAAAATTTTCTTTTTAAAGTTGCTCGCTAGACCGAAAAGCCACGGTCATAAAAAAATACTCTTAAAATAAATTTTAAGAAAATTTATCAAAATGCACTTGAAGTTGTGATTTAATTCAAAGAACCAACCATACTGACGTCGTGGATAAATCAAAAATACGGAAACCAAAACAACAATTGCAGTGAAGAATGCGATTGCGTTATAAGGTCGTAATTGAACAAATTGAGCAAGTTCGAATGGACACAACATGAAACCTATTAGTCCCAAAGCACCATAAAGAGCTGCAATCAAAGTATACATAAATTGAAACAATTGAAAAAAAACTAAAATATTAAAGGGTTCATAGGTTAGAACTCTCCCTAGGTCATCGTGTACCACTTGGCCCCATTTTCCTGAGTATATCGATTTCGTGGTCAAGCCTAAGGATATTAAAACATTCAGTAATTATAAAAATTATAAAATATAAAAGATTTATTTTTAATATGTTTGTATTATTATTATTATTTATGTTTTCAATTATTTTAACAAAAATTGGAAAGTGTTCTGGATTATTTCTAAAATATTTCTAGTCAAAAATTGATTTTTTCAAAATTTATTTTGATTACTTTTTTAACTTCATTTGAATGTGTTTTATTTAATTTTATTTTAAATATATTTTTTATTTTGTTTAGTTTTATTTTTGATTTTTTTTTTTTAACACTATTTAGCCTGGTCAGACCGCAACCGACAAGGGCTAAGTAATTGGAACTCAGCCCAAGTTATTCGGCTACGCCGGCCAAGTTCCGTCCCCAATTGTCTGCCACTAACAACCCTTTTTTTGAACCTCCTCTATTAGCTTTTTAGTAGGGTAGTTGGCGGCGTGATAATGATTTGGCACAAGTCTCAAAATAAATTTTTTTTAATTGTGTAGCTTACTTCAAGCTGTTAGATTTTATATCTAATAATTAAATGTGATTACGACTTCTTGTAAGAAAACTGAATGGTCTTATAATATACAATTTTTTTCATACTATATTATCTAAAGTCGCCAAATTCTATGAGGTAAACAATGGTGTAATTGAATCTAACTAATAGTAAAAATTTATCATACAAGTTATTGGATCCTATGTTTTCTCATATATATTAGGATTTAAAAACCATCTTAGATGCAGAAATAGGAATCTCAAAAGTTGGATCCCACCAAAATTATGTACTTATCTAGCTAGAAACAAAATAAGAAAAAACACAAGTCATAATATGAGATTCCCATATGGTGACCCAAATAGCACAAACCTATTCTTTTATCTTTCATCCCATATATATATTTTGATCAATTTATTTTTTATCAATTATTTTTTAAATATTTTTATTAGATGCGTCTTGAATATGGGTCGTTGGGCTCATATGTTCATATGAGCTAGTGGGCTAATCCCAATATATATATATATGGAAAAAGCTAATAATAACTGACAAGCTATAATGAATAGTAATATAGGTGGAATGTGAGCTGTTAGATCTTCATCATGCGATTCATATTTTATTTTTAATTATTTTTCTATAAATCGGATCATAATAAAATTTTAGATATATGTACTAAAAAATTGGGAGCACAAAAAAAAATATAAAGATAATATTTTCCAAAATATAAAATAATCGAAATACCCTTAAAAATTACGGGGGTAGTTTGGTCATTTTAAATTATTGAAAGTAATTTTTTTATATTTTTATATGGTGCGCAATAGTGCTAGGTATATACACCCAAAATTTCATATTAATTAGATTTATATAAAAATATTAAAATTAAAATAGGAATGTGCATTATGAACAGCTGTTGTAAGACTTTTCCAAAGTTCATAGTCCAAATTTCAGATTATTCCGATTTATAGAAAAAAAAATGAAAAATAAAATACTACTAGACAATCGTGACCATGCGATGAACTTTGGACGGTGATGAGTGTAGGCGAAATCACTGTTCATTTTCGCCTATAGGCGTTTTGTAGTAACTATATATATATATATATATATATGAAAAAAGTTTTAAAGAGCCGAGGCTCTAAACAATCAAATTGGAGCCTACCACAAAACGTTTACTAGAAGAGGTTGTTTTGATGCCCAAATATCCTCAAATTGATCATCTCGACATCAAGATGCATAGACATG